ACGTAATTTAATAGTTTTTAACAAGGCAGAGGGAAATGGGGAGAAGGGCAAGGTCAGCCAGCCATGCTCAAGTTGGCCAGAGTCCACTCAGGGTATAAGAGGTGAGACTAACGGTAGAGAATGCTTTAAAGTATATCGGATGAAGGAACAAAAAGAGACCTAAAACCTAACTGAACAATATGCAAACAAAAAGAAAAGACCTTGAGACACATATTCAAGAGTTAAAGGTAAATGGAAAATAACAGTTAACAGAAGACATATGGAATGAGATGCTGGCACAGCAGAGCTGAGTTTAAAGATGAAACTGTCCGATGCCTGTGGCTCTGGCGTGCTCCATTTGGTGTGTGCGTGTGTGTGGGGGTCATTCATCTCTCAGCCTCAGTGTTCTTGGTCTCTGTAGCTGTGGGAGCTGGAGGCCTGCTTCTCAGGTGCTCTCCTGGACTGAAGCATTCTTGGGTCTTCGGGCGTTTTGTTTTTGTTTTAAATTTTGAGACTATGTCTTATACTGTAGACTAAACTGGCATGGACATCACTGTGTAGACCAGATCTTGAACTTACAGTGATCCTCCTGCCTCTGACCCTCAAGGGCTGTGGTCACAGGCAGGCATCAACATGCCCTGCTTGTGATACCTGTCCTTCTGTTGAGAGAGCTTACTTCACATACAACAGCCCTCCTGGAGGTGAATCCCTTTCTTCCAGGTTGTCTGGAGGTTTATCTTCCTCCCTCCCTCCCTCCCTGCTTCCTTCTCTCATACCCCTCTTCTTTCTCTTTTACCCCTCTTTCTTAGGACCTCATTCATTCAATTCTAATAACTGATAATTATTAGATAATAGTAGATAATCTAATTCTCTACACTGATCAAATCCCAACCTAGCTTTTTCAAAAAGATTTATTTATTATGTATACAGCGTTCTGCCTGCATGTATGTCTGCATGCCAGAAGAGAGCACCAGACCTCATTAAGGATGGTTGTGAGCCACCACGTGGTTTCTGGAAATTGAGCTCAGGACCCCTGAGAGCTGCCAGTGCTCTTATCCTGATTATCCTGAGTCATCTCTCCAACCCCCCAAATTCCTTTTCTTGTTATTTTGAGGCAGGTTCTCACCAAGTTGCCAAGGTTAAACTCACCCTGCAGTAGAGGCAGGTCTTGAACTTTGTTCTCTCTCTCTCTCTCTCTCTCTCTTTCTCTCTCTCTCTCTCTCCTCTCTGGTCTCCCTGTAGCCTTGGCTGGCTAGGTACCCACCTGGCTCAGCCTCCTGAGTACTGAGATTTAAAGTGTGTGTCACCACACCTGACTGCATCTATTTTTTTCCTTTTTAATATATTTTTATTATTTTTTTAATCTATGTATATATGTAAGTGTGTACGGGTGCTCATGCAGGCCAACAGTGTCAGATTCCCTGGGAGCTGAGCTACAGCCAGTTGCAGTCTGCCTGATGTGGGTACTGGGAATTGAACTCAGATCCTCTAGAAGAGCAGTAGTACATGCCTCTAACCACTGAGATATCTCTATGGATCCAGCCCGACTGGATTTTTAAAACGGTGCTCACTAGTTCCCATCTGCGGCTGCCTCTATGCCTCTGACAGCAAGACCTCTGATCCTCAGGGCCGCAGTAAGAGTCACACAAGGCGCTCTTTGGTGCAGTGAAGTGGATAGTTCCAGGCCAAACTCAGTGCTTTGAACTCTGACCCGGCTATAAGAGGGAACTGTAACTTTCATTGCACTCACTAAAGTGGTTTCGAAGCAGGCAACTTTTATGAGCAAGAGGAAGAGGGGCAACCTGCGATATATATCAAGTTACCCCAAAATGAAAGGGATGGAAACTGGATTTAAAGAGTTGAAACAGGAGCCAGATGTGGTGGCACACTCCTTTGATCCCAGCACTTGGGAAGCAGAGGCAGGTAGTTCTCTGAGTTCAAGGTTAGCCTGGTCTATAGGTTCCAGGACAGCCAGGGCTACACAGAGAAACCCTGTTTCCATGTAGAAACTGATGGGGGAGGGGCAGGGACTAGAAACAGACTGGAACAGATGACCATATTTTCATCTGATCGAAGTCTAAGTTTAACAGACACTATTTTGTGGTGCCTGACCGTGGTACCGACACTTGGCGGGTGTGGAGGCAGGAGGATCAGAACTTCACGGTTATTCTGGCCACACAAATGCTCAGTAGTTGGAGTTCATCTCAGACCTGCACAAGACTGGGTCCCTAGGTCACTGAGGAAGGAAGGGGCTCACCAGGCCTTCTCTCTGTGTAAGAGGTTAAAGGGGTGCGGCAAACTTGAGATTTTGAGGCTCTAACTTGTGGGTGCTCCAACAGGCACGCTCTTCTGTACACTCCTGTACGGAACTCCAGTTAAGTTCAAGGGGTGCAATCTTTTCTTTGGTCTGTCTAGGGTGAAAAGACATTTGCTTCCATCTTCAACGAAAGGCCTGGTGTGGTGGCAAAGGCCTGTCAACCAAGTAGAGGCAGAGGTGGATGGGTCTCTATGAGGTAGAGGCCAGCCTGGTCTTCATGGTAAGGTCTAGGTCAGCCAGGACTGCTTCGTGAAACCCTGACTATGAAGCAGGAATTCGGGCTGGGGAGGCAACGCAATGGTTAAGAAGACTTTCTGGGGTGCAATGAAGACCAGAGTTGAACATCTATAGCCCATATCATGACCCACGTGGTCAGCCTACAGCTGAACCTGTGGCACCCCAATCCAGGTAGAGCAGAGACAGGAGGATGCAAAATTGGAAGTAAAGAGAACAGGCCTGTGTGGAAGAAAGAAAGGCAGAGATATCCAGCGCCCTCTTCAGAGCTCGGCCTGCAGAGGGGCACCTGCCCCCGACCCGACACTTCCAGAAGATACTTTTTAAAAAACAAAGAGGATGCTGCTTGGCTGTGTAACTCTACAACTGACATGATTTCAGTAAACTTCCACAACTTTAAACATGGCGTCCCCTCTATAACAGTGGGTACTGAATATAAGATGTACCTTATGAACCCACACTGCTTGTGCTGGGAATCACACCCAAGAGTTCACAATTGCCAGGCAATTGCTCTAAGTCTAAACTCTATACACACCTTTGATGTGTCTTCCAGCAGAGCTATTTGGAGCAGGCTGTGTGGGAGCTCCCCCTAGGGTGGTGACTCTTGCGTACGGTTCTTTGAGACCTGGAACCTCGGCCTGCAGAGCCTGTCTTCACAGGCGCTCAGGCTGGAAACAGATCAAACACCCAGGGTCAAACAATCCCAGGCTAACTCCAAGGTATTTCAATTACATTTTCTTTATTATAAGGGGCAAACTCACGAAACAGGAACGAGAAGTCCAACCTCAGCTGTGTAGCGTGGGAACCACAGAGAGTGTGAACCCTGGGCCGGTTGAGGGTTTTCTCCCAGTACCCGAAAGGCCATACCCTAACCTGGTCTAACCTCTTAAAGATTATTGGCTGACAGAGATTTCCCATCACAAACTGGCCTCTAGCTCAAGACATTCATTCCTAGGCGCTGCATATCTGCCATCAAGCAGAGCCAACAGAAACAGGGCATTCAAAATCGAAAGTCCATTCTTGAAGAGAAAGTAGGTGGTACTGGGGATTGAACCCAGGACCTTACACATACTAGGCAAGAGTGTTACTTCTCACATACATTCCTGACCAAGACCTGTTTATACTATGGGTGGTTATCACAACAGCCTTTTGTTTTTTAGGGGTATAAGAGTTTTGGGTCAGGGTCTCACTATGTACCCCAGCCTCTCGAGCACCGGGATTACAGGGCTGTGCCACTGATGCGCAACTTCCAACGTTTCTTTCCTGGCCTTGCTGTGGCCTCGGCTGGCATCTAACGTGAGCTACTGCTTTCTTAGCCCCTGGAGTAGCTGCGACTGTGAAGTTCCTACCTGTAAAGAAGATTTTAGTATATAAATACTGAAATAGATGTAAGTGGTGAAGAACTTCTTCATTCCACAGCAGAGTCAGTACAACAGACGGACTCAGTTCTCAGCACTATAGGAAACTGGGTACTCTGGATTAGCTCCCCGAGTTCAAGACCAGCCTAGTTTACAGTGATATCTCAAAATAAAAGCAAAAACAGAAACAGAACAATGAGGTGGTACACAATATTGGTGAAAAATACTGAGGCAAACTGATGGCTGTTGACAACTCCCGCTTTCAAATGCCAGCCTACACCTCTCAACACAGTATGTGGAAGACTAATACAGGAGGTCACAAGTTCCAGACCAGCCTGGATTGCCTAGCAAGACCTTTAAAAACCAACGAGTGACCACAAAAAACCACACATGCTCGACATTAGAGAAGGTTTTTCTTTTTACATTAAAACCAAAGCCAAACTTAAAATTTTGTGTTTAATTATATGTGGCTGTGTGGGCTGCTGGGCTTTGTCTCAAACAGGCATACATGCAGCAATTTCGTAGACCAAGGGGGGTGGGGGGAGAAGAAACCTATGTTTGGCCCTTTCAGTTGTCGCGTATAAATCCATCGCTTATATTACAACCAGGTGTATAGAAGCAAGTGATTGCGATGCTTGGGATACATTTGCTGTTGTGTTTTTAAGAGAGTTGTTTTCTCCACTTTTGAGGTTATAATGAACACAGTCACCACGAGTAAAGTCAGAAGCAGGACAGAGCATCCTCTCTGGTTTGGTCACTGGTCATCACTAAAATTAAATTCAAATAAGAACAAAAATTTTCCTTTAAAAGGGGGCAGGCAGGGCCTCGCACGTTTGGGCTCTTCTCCCCTCCCTTTCTGCAGATTCCCGCTGTGGCTTTGGTGGTGCAATGAACAGCTCATGTCGTTGTGGGTGGCGCTGTCCCCTGAGAGCGGGTGAGTCTGCTTCTCTAGATGAAGGAGACCACATAGAGAGTCTCGGACGGGAAGTGCCTGGATGGCAGTTGCTGCTCTCTGGGCATCCTCACCAGTCCTTGGCCTCCTGGTGTGAACACTCCCCTCACCTCCTCCAGCTGCCCGCTTGCCCACAGCCACCTCGTTCGCTCTCCGCTCTCCGCATCTTCTCCAGCCTCCTCTTCGTCTCTGTCAGCTGCTGGTCCCCGTTTCTCTCGTTAGCATCCCCCTTGGCAGACGCTTCTCTGCCATCCCGTGCCTTCTTCCTGTCGTTGATGGTGACCTCAGCACTGGTGTCCACAGCCGTGCCTGACCATAAATGGGTCAAAGTTCAACGTCATTGATAAAAAAAAAAAAAAAGCAGCAGAGGAGACAGGTGGTCTGTGACGGCAGGGAGTGGGGAGCCAGGGCCAGGGAACGATGTCAAGATGAGTTTTCTATCCGTGAAGGGCTTGGTTTTTATTAAAAGGGAAAGACATAGGTGGTTTACAAAGACTGGCATCGATGAAGTTTTTGCTGGCAACGACTGGAGAAACATTTACTTAAAGGTCCCACGATTTATAAAGCAGGTATTCTGACTCCTTTGGAACTCCTTGAAGCAGATTAAACCAAAACAACTATTGTGATTGTTAGAATGAAAACTGGAAAAAAAACAAAACAAAACAAAAAACGAAATGCCAGACCCGCTGACTAGATTCGCTGGTTGCCCAGCCTCTCACCACTCAGGATCTTTGCATGTGCAGATCTTCAGGGGCCAGACATCGTTCCCAGTGTAGAAATAAGGCCACAGTGCACCGGTAGGACAGTCCCTAAATCTGTACAGAAGGGACTTATCACACAAATTGTAGAAAGAAACCTCATGCATTTCGGAGTCTAAAAAAATTCCAACCCTATTGGGTTTTACCTTTGGCAGAAGACGGATTTTCTTACGGCCCAATGCGACGTAAGTTCTCCCATTGTCTAGCCCAACTCCCCGTAACTTGTGGTGCACTGAGAACTGTGGATTCGTCTGTCTCCTGACCCTGGTCCTGGGGAAGGGCTCTTGGCAAATCCCCAGGAGCCACTGATACTTGTTCTCCACGTCTACCTCCCAGTACTGTCTGCCGGAACTGTACCCCTCAGACCCCAGAACAACGGGGTACCCGCGAAATCTTCTGTTGCTAGCCGGTGCCGTTTGCATGCCCAGATACAGCGCAGTTTTTTTATCTTTTGAGATCTGAAGTTTACAGTTCGCTGTTTCAGGATCCAGAAGTACATCCACGTGAAACCGCTGGATAATTCTGTCCAAGCCTGAACACTGTGGAGGAAGCTGGTAGCCATACTCTGTCAGCTGAAGCGAGAAGGCCACAGGGCATTTTAAGCCTTTGTATCTCCTGTAGGAGTCTTTAACACTTGCCAGCAAGTCCAGTTCCGACTTTCCACAGTTGCTCCTTACCTCCCGCAGCAGATGCTTCAATGAAGCGATGTGATCTGAGAAGATTTCTAGGTTGACATGTATTTTGAATAATCCAGTTAGCTCTTCATTTTCTAACTCCTCAAGAATGTTCTTTCTTTCCTCCCTAAGAAACAGCCTGTATTGTTGGTATTCAGACGTCACCTCTTCCCTTCTGCGTTCCGCCCTTTTCTTCAGTTCTAGCCATCTTTTCCTTTGGGTGGCAAGGACTTTCTCAACCGACTCCACTTTCTCCCTCCAGAGTTTAATGTAATACTCAATTTGTTTCCTATGAGAGAGGGTGGCATCCTCCATGGGCCAAACGAAGCGACGTATGGGACTGGGGGAGCAAACCTCTTGGTCCTTTCCACAGGAAAGGGCCGACGGCTGCGCCTCTCTGGAACGCTGTCCTTTCTGCCTTTGCCTCCGGCCCTTTCTTACCGGGAGCCACTTGGCGACTTCAGTGGGTTTGCTCAGCTGCTGACTACTCTGAAAATTCCTTTCTGGACATTTAAGGTGGCAAATAGGGCAGGAGAAATTATCCTTTCGATCCTTCCAGAACGTACTGATGCAGGAGAGGCAGAATTTATGCCTGCACTCGATGGTCACTGGGTTCTTGAAGTTCTCCTTACATATGGGACAGTGGGCCTCTGCTGGGAGGTCAGCCTGCCCTGTGTCAAGCTCCCCGGAACCTGTGCAAGGCTGCACAGAGGTTGTGGGAGAAGACATGTTACTTCTGGAAGGCCTACTTCTCTGCAACTTGAAATTAGCAAGCTCTGGTCCTCCCTGAGATCTGAAGACCAAGTAGCTTTTGGGTCCCTTGCTTGTTGATGCTGGCTTCTGCAAACTTGGTTAACCCTATATAGCTAACAGCGGAGAGGGCTGACCGAGTCCGGAGCCCAGGACTACTGCATATTAGAACCTGTTAGCAGAGGCTGCTGCTTTCCCTGCCCAAGGAAGTTTTCTTGTTCAAGAAAGTTGTTTCACATCCAAAAAAATAAATCCTTCCTACGGGTAAGATAGGACAGGAGATTAAAAATCAGACTGTGTTATCAACACTGTATCAAAACAGCCACACGAGAACCCTGTGTACACTGGGACCCAAGTTCAATCCCTGAGCCCCACATTGTGGGAGGAACCTACTCTTGAAACTCGCCTTTTGGCCTCCACACTCTTGTTGTATGGACACATAATCCATTTGAGAGCACACACGTGCACTGAATAAATGTGAAAGGATTTAGGAGCGTAAAAATCATTAGGTGAAAACACAGGACATTTGTGCTGCAGATTTCATTCACAAATCAATTATAAGCAACAGCAGCACGAGCTGGTAGGACTGACCAGTGGACAGAGCACTGCCTGCTCTGGTAAAGGGCCAGGGTTCAGTTCCCAGCACCCACATGGAGGCTTACAACGATGCATAATTCCATTTCCAGGGGATCAGAGACCTTCTTCTGAATCTGGGGAGGAGGAGCACAGACACACATGTGATACACATACATACATGCAAGCAAACCACTTATACACATGAATAAATCTAACACAACATCAAACAAAATAAAAACATAAAATCTAGCACTATAAGCCAGGCTTTGTGGTGTATTTCTGTAATTCCAAAACTTGGGGGGGAGGAGTAGAGACAAGAGGATTAGGGATTAGGCCTTGTAGACTATCAGGTCAGCCTGGGTTGTTTCAAAAAGTAAAACAAATAAAAACTTAAAACAACAATAAAAACAATGGGTGTGATCTGAAACATTTACATCACTAAGGAGACGGAGGCAGGACAGGAGGCTTTTAGGACAGCTTGGGTACACAGGGAGTCCCAGGACAGGCCTAGGTATGTGAGGTCAAGAAAACAACAAAAATTATAAACAAAAAATACTAGCAGGACACAGTGGTGCAGGTCTTTAAACCCAGCACTGGGGGAGGCAGAGGCAGGTGGATCTCGATGAGTTCAAGGTCAGCCTAGTCTACAAGTCAAGTTCTAGGACAGCCAGGGCGCTCTTGAAACCCTGTCTCTAAAAACAGACAGACAAAACAAACAACAACAAAAACACCTATCAGGGTTGGAGAGATGACTCAGTTATTTGAACTCAGGTTCCATTCCCAACACCCAACTGTCTCTAACTCCAGTGGGCTTCAGATACTTTCACACCAACATATATGCAGGCGCGCGCGCACACACACACACACAAAAACACACACACAAAGTGAGTATCTGAGCTCCTCGCTGGATAGCCCCACTCTCTAGGCCCCAGTCACCAGAGGCACAGACTAGACCTGCACGGATTGGAGGACAGCAGTGTAAGAACACATTCAACAACATAAGGAGCAATTGCCATGCCACCAGAACCTAGCAGTTCTACAATGGCGAGACCTAAACAATCCAATGCAGGTGAAGCAGAAAAAACAACCTTAAAAATAACTTTATGAAGATGATAGAGGCCCTTAAAGAGGAAATGAACAATTCCCCTAAAGAAGTGGAGGAAAAGACAAGCAAAAAATTGGGAGAAATCAATACATCCCTTAAAGAACACCACGGAAGCCAAGAAAAACAATCATATTTGTGAAGGAAACAGTTCAAGACTTGAAAATTGAAGTAACTGCAAATAAAGATAACACAAACTGAGGGGATTCTAAAAATGCAAAATCTGGGTAAATGGACGGGAACTACAGATGCAAGCATAATCAACAGAATATAAAAGATGGAAGAGATAATCTCAGATATTGAAGATCGGATAGAGGAAATAGATTCATTGGTCAAAGAAATGTTAAATCCAACAAGTTCCTCACACAAATCATCCAGGAAATCTGGGACACCATGAAAAGAAAAGACCAAACCTAAGAATAATAGGTATAGAAGAAGAAGAATTACAGCTCAAAGGCAGAAAATATATTCAACAAAATCATAGAAGAAAACTTTCCCAACCTAAAGAAAGATGTCCCTATTAAGATACAAGAAGCCTGAGCACACCAAATAGGTTGGACAAACAAACAAACAAACAAAATCCTTCCCTCGTCAAAAAATAATCGAAACACTAAACATGCAGAATAAAGAAAGACCATTATAAGCTTCAAAGGAAAAAAGGCTAAGTAACATAAAAGGCAAACATCAGAATTATACCTGACTTCTCAATGGAGACTCTGAAAGACAGAGAAGAACCTGGACAGACATTTTTCAGACACTAAGACTCTGCTTAGTCTTAGCAGACTAACACTGCTATGCTCAGCAAAGCTTTCAATCACCATAGATGGAGAAAACAAGATATTCCATGACAAAATCAAATTTAAATAATACCTACTCACAAATCTAGCCACAGAAAGGATTAGAAGGAAAACTCTAACCCAAGGAACTTAGCTGTACCCACAAAAACACAGGTAACAGATAACCTCATAACCTCATACCAACAAATCACGAAGAAGGGAACACCCTCCACACCCTCCCCCACACTATCACCACCACCACCAAAACCAAAAATCACAGGAATTAGCAATCACTGGTCATTAATATCTCTTAGTATTAACGGAATTAATTCACTTATAAAAAGACACAGGCTAATGAAATGGGTATGAAAACAGGACCCATCCTTCAGCTGCCTACAAGAAACACACTTCAGTCTCAAAGACAGACATTAACTCAGAGTAAAGGGTTGGGAAAAGACTTTCCAATCAAATGAACCTAAGAAACAAGCTGGTGTAGTTATACTAATAACTAGTATAGACTTCAAACTAAAGTTAATCAAAAGAGATGGAGAAGGCATTTCATATTCATTACAGAGAAAATCCATCAAGATGAAGACTAAATTCTGAACATTTATGCTCTAAATACAAGGGTATTTAGGTACATTTGTAAAAAGAAACATCACTAAAGCTTATATCACACATCAAACTCCATCCACTAATAGTGGGAAACTTCAACACCCACTCTCCCCAATGGACAGGTCTGCAAAACAGAAATATAACAGAGAAATAAGGGAACTAACAGATGATATGACTCAAATGGAATTAATAGACATCTGTAGAATATTTTGCCCAAACACAAAAGAATATACCTTCTTCTCAGCACCTCTTGGAACCTTCTCTAAAACTAACCACATACTTGTTAACAAAGCAAACCCCCACAGAAACAAAAATATTGAAATAACTCCTGGTATCTTATTGGATCATCATGACTTCAACAACAATATAAATTGCAGAAAGTCTACAAACGCATGAAAACTGAACAATGCTCAACTGAATCACCAATGGGTCAAGGAAGAAATAAGGAAATTAAAGACTTCCTAGAATTCAATGAAAACGAATGCACCACATACCCAAACTTACGGGACCCAATGAAAACAGTGCTAAGAGGGAAGTTCATAGCACTAAGTGTCTACATAAAGAAAGTGGAGAAATCTCACATTAGTGACTTAACAGCATACCTGAAAGCTCTAGAACAAAAAGAAGTAAACTCACCCAGGAGGAGTTGACAACAGGAAATAATCAAATAAATCAATAAAACAGAAACAAAGAGAACAATACAAAAAAATAATGAAACACAGAGTTGGTTCATTGAGAAAATCAACAAGACAGACAAATCCTGATCCAAAGTAAGCAAAAAGAAGAGAGAGAATATCCAAATTTGTAAAATCAGAATTGAAAGGGGGGACATCACAGATATTGAGGATATTCAGAGAACCATTAGATCACACTTCAAAAACTTGTACTCCATACGATTGGGAAATTTAAAAGAAACAAACAATTTTCTTGCTAGGTACCACATACCAAAGTTAAATCAAGACCAGATAAACAATTTAAATAGACCTATGGCCCCTAGGGAAATAGAAGCAGTCATTAAAGTCTTCTAAGAGAAAAAAGTTCAGGGCCGGATGGTTTCAGCTCAGAATTCTACCAGTACATCACAGAAGAGCTGACATCAACACTGCCCAAAGTGTTCCACACACTAGAAACAGAAGGAGCATTGTCAGCTTTTTTGAGGCTACAGTTACCCTGATATCCAAACCACACAAAGACGCAGCAAAGAAAGAGAATTACTTTCCCTCACAAACATTGACACAAAAATACTCAATAAAATACTGGCAAGCCGAATCCAAGAAAACATCAAAAAAATATCACCCACCATGATCAAGAAGGCTTTATCCCAGAGATGCAGGGATGGTTCAACATAAGAATATCTATCAATATAATCCACCATATAAACAAACTGAGAAAACACACACACACACACACACACACACACACACACACACACACACACGATCCTCTCATAAGATGCTGAAAAGGCTTTTAACAAAATCCACCACCCCTTCATGATAAAAGTTTTGGAGAGATCAGGGATACAAGGACCATACCTAAACATAATAAAGGCAATAAACAGCAAGCTGACAGCCAACATCAAACTAAGTGGAGAAAAACTCAAAAGTGATTCCACTAAAATCAGGAATAAGACAAGGCTGTTCATCCACTCTCCATATCTATGCAATATAGCACCTGGAGTTCTAGCTAGAACAGTAAGACACCAAAAGGAGATCAAGGGGATACAAATTGGGAAGGAATATGTCAAATTTTGCTATTTGCAGTTGATATGATAGAATACATAAGTGACTCCAAAAATTGAACCAGGGAACTCCTACAACTACTAAACACCTTCAGTAATGTGGCAGATACAAGACTAACTAAAAACAAAAATCAGTAGTCCTCCTATAGGCAAATAGGCTGAGAAAGAAATCAGAGAAACATCACCCTTTA